GCTCAGCAGAGTCAGCTTCTACCCTGCATCAGCATGGCTCAGCAGAGTCTGCATCGTGGGTTTTACTGGATAGAAACGAGTCTTTGGAAGCTCCCAGGCTCTATTTCAATCTGGTCAACATGTTAGTTCTATTTACTTTCTTCCTCTCTTTGTACTTTTGAAAAGGACAGAGGGTGCTTGGGGAGGCAGGGGTGGCAGAGTGGTGCTGGCACTGAGACCGCTGGCCCTCGTCACCTTTCTGGACCACGACTCCCACCTCAGCACTTCCGGTTCTTTTGCCTAAAGCAGGACTCATCTATTTCTGGAAGGACAGAGGAAAACTGACGTTCTGGCACCAGCTCCCTTCTCTCCTGGAGCCCTTTCTCCCATGAGCTCTTGGCTTCAGGTCTCCCATGTGCAGTTTATTTTATAGTGCAGCCTTTCACTGATGTGCTACTACAAAGGGAACTGGAGCAGAGAGCATGCAGAGTAAGAACAGTGCTTTAGAAGCTCCACATCTAGGACAAGAGAGAATTTAGGGACTCCATCGCTATGCTATCCCCGAGCGGTACAAGTCAAACGGTTGTACACACCTTTACTAAGCAGTTCTTGTGTCCAGGCACAGAGCCATTCACGTAGATTATGTTGTGCTTCGTGTTCACTCTCCACACCTACAACACGAAGTGAGAGATGAAGGCTCCAGAAACTAGGAAACGTGTTACTACCAAGCCGAGAATACGCTCTACAAACCGTTCACCACGCCAGCAACTGAAGGCCAAGCTTGTAAGATCATCAGTGCGCCTTACTTTAGGAGTGTGGCTGTGGACAACTACTTCAACTCCATGGAGTCTGCTGACACCAAGAATGATACGTGGAATTTCAGTTCTGTTTTGGTTACTATTACTTTTTTTTTTTTTTTTACAACTAGCAACTGGGAATTCCTAACTCACTGAATCTAATCTCTAAAATAAGCCAGCCAAGCAGACTGCCTTCAAAAACACCTCAACATAGAGGAAAAACAATAACACACAATGGTCAAAAAAAAAGAAAAGAAAGAAAAAACAGTAAGAAAACAAGAAGGGGACATCAAGGTATTTATAACACTACACAGAAATCTGTGAAACAGTAATGTCGCTTCATTAAGCGGGAAACAGTAATGGTGGGAAACAGACCAGTTTGTCTGATAATTAACTTTAGGTGTCATGACTGGATTAAGGAGCTGGAAGAACAGGAAGCATGACTTCTGGGGTGCCTGTGACTCTGGGAGTCTGTGTGGATGTCACTCAGCGGGTGAACACCTTCCCACCGCTGGGCCACAATAAATGAAGGAGGCTGAGGGAAGCACTTCCTTTGAGCCTGGAAACCTGTCCCAAGTCATCTCAGTTTCAGGCTCCCAGACTTTGGACTCAGTGCCCGTCCAGGCCCCTGCCTCATTCTCAGGACTTTTGTTTCAGACTGAGAAGTCTATCACTGGGTTTTGAAGTTGAGGTTTTGGACTGAGTCAGGGCTACAGGCATTCCAGGGATTCCAGCCTGTAGGTATCCTATAGTGGGATTTCTCAGCCTTCATGTAGTAATGGTAGAAGGAAATCCTAAAAATACCCCTTGGTTTATCTATCACATTGTCCAGTCAAGCATCCAAAGCATCCACCCACTCATCCAAATAGTCACCCGCTCTGGAGAAGCCTGACCTAATTATATAAAATTATACATAATCTATACATTAAATGTATGTAGAATTAAGATGGGAAGAATATGCACAAAATGTAGCAGCAACTACTGGATGCTGTTGTTATGGGTGGCTTATTTTGTTCTTTCTATACTTTAAGCCATATACATCCAAATATACACATATTTGATGTTTTAATGAAAGTATAAGCACATAGCATCCATTATAGTACAAACTGTTTGCGTTCAGCTGTTCAAGATTTTCTTCTGATATTAGTAGATTAAATATTAACTTCCCTTTTAACTCTCTCTCTCTCTGAAAATGCATGCACCACAATGAAGTAATCTTATCCCCTTTACTGGGACTGTCCCCTCCTTTCCTTACCCACATCTATTTCACTGACCTATTTGACATAAAATCCAAGACAGCTCAGCATATAACCTTCAGCTTCTCTGTGATAATATACACAATATACAGAAACAGAATGTCCAGGGAGCTTTTGTTCTCTTTACAAAGGAAAATATTATATCTAATGCTTCGAATCCTTTCTCCCTTGCGATATCTTGTGAAAATATTTCAGCTCAAATAGTAGGTCACTATTTTTTTCTTTGTAACAACTATACATAACATGGCTTAGATGTAAAATATACTTATGCAGCCCCCATTACAGTACAACTCAATTTCATTTCCTTTGAATGACTAATTCCACACCTACAAGTCAACCACACACCTCATGCACCCTCCATCCTTAATAGTCAGAAAGCACACTTGTTCAGGACACACACACACACACACAATGCACGCTGTAGGCCCTTGCATATAAACTCACAAACAGTACTTTATAGACTTACTTTCAGTCCATACACTGTCCTGCTCTGGTTTCCCATCTGCCCAGGCATTTTGGTTCCAGGCCAGACTCTGGCAACATCCTGAACGACAAAAACAAAGTTCACACTTTCAGTACTTTTGATTTTGAGCAGTACTGACTAAATCACAGTGGACACCACAAACAAGAATAATTAAATCCAACTCTTTCAATTCGTTTATTCAGCTCTATCAGTAAAGAACTGAATGTGGATGTATATCCATTTACTCCTAATGTTGGAACATGGTCGAAGAATGGAGTCATGTGAGAATTCTGAGTGCTTGCGAGAAAACGCCAAGAGTCTTGTGGCCTGAATTTCTTCGTGCTCCTCCTAGGTATAGTGGATAGGAGTGAGTTTACTTCAGCTGCTGTTACTCATGTGCCTCTATGGAAAAACATGTTTGTGCCATGTGTGGCTTGTCTTGTGACTAAAAACCTTACTCATGTGATTCTTTTTAACTCTCAGAGTATAAATTGTCTGATGCTCTGAATAAAACTGGCTATCGCATGAGACTTTAGTCCACCTCATTTTTAGGCCCCTTTCCCAGGTTCATCATTCCCAATTAGAGCTGTAAACACTCCCAGATGGGAGCTCAACACAGACTACGAAGCAGACAGGAGAGAAACTCATTAGCAAGGATACTAACTGATCTAATACGGACAGAAAGTTAAAAAAAAAAAAAAAGAAGAAGAAACCAAGGGAACACAAACATGCCACATCACCATGCCACGGGAAACCAGTGGGCTGCTTTCCTGATTTCACCTAATCCTAGTTACTGGCTTAATGGGCTTCACCTACACCGCCTGAATGGGCTTCTTCCTCAGGTGTGAAGTCATTTTTCTTGGCTCATATTATCTGCATCAGTAGAATAGTGTTCGTCTAACTAGCTCCAGCTGATGCTGAGAATGGACACTAATCCCTTATCTAAAGAAATCAAATGTAAAGTGAGGGACCACTCACTGAACTCTTAGTGAGCAAACAGTTTTGTGTGGCAGGTACACCCTCGCAGCAGCTGAAACTCCCAAGTAGAATTGACACCAGGACAGCTCACTCCAGGTGATGGATTAATTCTCATTTTGACCTACCTGGATTTAGGCTCACTGGGGACACACCCATGGGCATGTCTGTGGGAGCATTTCCAGGGAGGTTTTACAGAAGGGGGACCCTCCCTAAATGTGGGTGGCACTCTCCCATTGGCTTAAGGTTCTAGGCTAAAGAAAAAGGAGAAAGCAAGCTGAGCAGTGGTGTCATCTCTGCAGAGGTGGACACCATGTGACCAGTTGCTCCCCATGCCCTCCTTCAAAGCCAGGGCTATCTCACTTGTGCCTTCCCCTCTACCATGGGCTGGACTCCTGAACTGTAGACCAACATCAACCCTTCCTTAAGGGCCACGCCAGGTATTCGGTCACAGTCATGATGAACTAAGTAAGTCCTTTACTGTGTGCTGCACACGGTTCAAAGAGGAGTTCTGAGTACTGCAGACTGAGTGACTTGTACCTGTTCTGTACAGTGTATGTTAACAAGTTCAGCACCCCCGCTCAACTTAATACTGCCATTACAAGCACTCTGAAGAGTACAGACTACATTACCTAATCCTTTAGTAAAGTATTTACCCAACACCTTATGTATATCTTACAACAAATAAGGATAGGAAAGTTGTAAAATTCACCTGAAAACATTTCATACCCTAAATAGAAATTCCATACCCACTAGCTGCTCCTACCTCCAACCCTCACAGAAACAACCTTCATAGATTTGACTAGTTTGGAGAGTTACATAAACAGTCATAAAATATTCTAGCTTCTTTGGCTTAGCATGTTTTCAAGGTTCATCTATACTACAAGTATCAATCCCTCAGTCCATTTTACTAAATGATACTCTATTGAATGGATATATCAACTTTAGTTAGCTACATCAAAGTGATGGATATTGCCACTATGGATATTCATGTAGTTTTAGTATGCATAGTCATTTCTCTTGGACATATACTCATGAATTGCTAGGTCACAGGGTAACTTTACACTTAACCATTTTAGAAACTGCCAAGCTGTTTTCCAAAGTGGCCGTCATCATTTAAAATTTCTGCCACCAATGTATAAGGGTACAGTTTCTTCATGTTTTTGCCACAATGTGTTAGCACAGACCTTTTGATAAACTATGAAGTGCTGGCTCACGGTAGTTTTGATCTGCACTTTCCTACTGCTGAAGAGGGTGAGCGCTTGCTCACTGGCCTGACAGATACTTTCTTGGCTTCTTTGCCTGGTTTTTAAAACGGAGTTACTTTTACTATTGGTTGTAAGAGCTCTTTATTTACTGTGGGTAAAAGTCTCATGAGGTATCTGATTTATAAGTACTTCTTCCATTCTGTGAGCTGTCCTTTCCTTTTTCCTATGTTATCATTTACAGCTTGAATGTTTCACATTTTCATGATGTGTAACTCAACTGTACTTTCTTCTGCTGATTAGACGTCTGGGTCATATCCTGGGCCTTGTCCATCTCATGGGCATGAAGATTTATTACTGTGGCATTTATTCTACAATTTTAGGCTTTTCAATCTGTCTTCAGTTGCACCTTTCTTTTTTGGGGGGCGGTGG